TGATTGACAGCAGTGAAGCAGTTTCACTTCTTTTCAAATTTCTCAATAAAAGCCATGCGCTGACCCGATTCGGGGCTCACTCAGTCTTCTCTGGCTGAGTCCCTTGGTCTCGCTCTTAATCTTACTTTTGTCTCTTGCTCTTATTCAATCTGCGTCGCCCCTTAAGAGAAACCTGTATGCCCTTGCCACGCTGGACGTGACAAGCCAAGGCACAGAGGTGGCCTCTACAAGTACGGACATGGATTGCCCCTTAGAGCCTCCAGAAGGAACGCAGCCCTGCCAACACTGTGATTATAGGACTTCTGTTCTCCAAGGCTATAGGATAATACATTTGTATTGTTTTAAGTTACTACAATTGGGGTAATTTGTTACAGAAGACACAGGGAACTCATACATGCTTCTACTCTGAAACTCCGAGTCAGGGAGAACTGCTGGGTGATCGGGCTGGCATTTACCTTTCTTGGCATGAGCAGTGGTTCACAGTGGTGCTGCTGACTGTCTCCCACTAGGTAGGGAAGACTCAGTGTATGAAGGTTGGGTGGACCAGACTTTCTCAGGCTTAGAACACTGAGAAAGAGAAGCAGACAAAATGATTGCTTTTTCTCTCCAAATTAAAAAAAAAAAAGTTATGCTTATAAATACCAAAAAGCCCCAATCGTTGCATCACACAGCTGACTTTGAATGGCTTCCCACATTCTTTGACATGTCGTGAGCCAATTACTTTTCCTCCTCCCTAAGAGAAGACATGTTTGATTTTTATAGCCATTGTTAAAGGGAAAATGAGTCTTTTGTTGCAGATGTTCACAGACAAATGGACACATAGTCTATGAAGCATCTGCAGCCCTCTCATCAGCAGCTAAAATGCCAAGGGGAGGATTTGTGTGGCCTCTTCCTGATTCTAGAGAAAGAGAACAGGAACAGAACCTTGAGGAATGCCCTTGTTTCAAAGATGATGGAAAGGAGGGGCAACAGGACACAAAGGGGTTGTATCTCTGAAGCGATGGAGGTGAGAGCCCTAGAAGGAATGGCCGGAGCCTGAGGGTGAAGATTGGCTATTAGGTTTCAATCTGGAGCCAGTGCTAGAGTTCAGGAGTGGGAGGAGACAGAGTCAGTAAGGCAGGAAGGATCAGAAATGCCCGGTTTCTTTGGGTCGGAGAGACTTGAGAGCTGTTCTTGGCATTTATCCAATGCCAAAGCAGGTGGCTGTCGAAACGGAAGAGAGGATAATAGGTGGTGATAGAAGAGAGGTGATGACCATATTAATCATGTTTTTCATTTTTGGTATTTTATGTTGCTTTGATATTTTGGGGCTTTGCTAATCTGGGACAGACTGCCCCTCAAAGGGCTAGCTAATTCCTATAGATAGCAAATGACACACCTGAGAGTGTGCTTCCCATATGCAAAACAACCAATCCATAGCTCACACCCCAGCCACCTCCTTTATCAGGCTCTCACGTGCCAGGAGGCAATATCCCTTATCCCCAGTCACCCCAAGGCCAGGTACCAGATAACTAAGGACCGCACCTGTGCTTCACAGCCTGCTGAAATTATTCACACTAGCCAATTGCAAATGAAGAAGATGGCAGAACCTGAGACTCCTTTGGGATACCATCAAGTGTATAAATATACATGTAGTGGGAGTCCCAGAGGAAGAAGAGAGAAAGAGAAAGACCTTGAAAAACTAATAGCTGAAAACTTCCCAAATTTAATAACAATCATGAATCTATACATCCAAGAAGCTCAACAAACTCCAAACAGGATAACTCAAAGAATCCACATCATGACATGCTATAACCAAATTGCTGAAAGATGAAGACAAAGAGAATCTTGAAAGCAAGCAAGAGAGAAGTGATTCATCACATACAGGGATCTCCAATAAGATTTACAGCTGACTTCTCATCAGATATCATGGAGACCAGAAAACTGAATGATTTAAAGTGCTGGAAAAACAACAACTGTCAAACAAGAATTCTGTATCAGGTAAAACTATCCTTCAAAAATGAAGGAGAGGGCCGGCCGAGTGGCACGATGGTTAAGAACTGGCTTGGGACGCCAGAGGGCCCCGGTTCGGATCCCACATATGAGGGCCAGTGACACTGCTCTCCGCAGCTGAGATGCTGAACAACAGCTCAACCTGGAGCTGGGCTGCCTTGAGTCGTCGGCGACGGCGTAGGCTGCAGCCCCTGTGGCAGTGGGTTGCCATGGACTACTGTATGTAGCCAGCAGCCAGCGTGAGCGGCCAGTAGCCGCCATGAGCGGCCGTCCAGAAGCTGGCAACTGAGCTGCCTCGCCCGGGAAGAGCGCAATGATGGTGCCAACTTGGGCCAGTGAAGCAACGTCCTCCACAACTAGACTGAAGAACAAAACGACAGCAACTTGTCTGTTCCCCTTCGCCCAATTCCCCAGTGCTGTTCCCATCCCCCAATTCCCCAGTAAAAATCTTAAAAAAAAATTGAAGGAGAAAAATAAATAAATAATTTTTTTAAATGAAGGAGAAATTAAGATATTCCCAGATGAACAAAAGCTTTGAGAGTTTAGGCCCACCCTACAAGAAATGCTAAAAGGAGTCTTTCTCCTTTTAGGAGAAATAAAAGGACACTAGATAGCAATTCAAAGCCATATGAAGAAATAACAATGGTAAAGGTAACTACATAAGTATAAAAGCCAGTATTATTCTATTTTTGGCTTGTAATCCTCTTTTTTTCCCTTTATGATTTAGAAGACAAGGCATAAAAACAATAATTATAAAATTATGTTAATGGGGATACAACATATAAAGGTGTAATTTGTGGCAATAATATAAAGGAGGAATAAAGCTGTATATGTTTTGAATACTATTGAAGCTGAGTAGGTATAAATTCCAGCTAGATTGTTACAAGTTGAAGATATTAACTAACCCCCAGGTAAGAAAATAACTAAAAATATACAGAAGCGGAAACAAAAAGGGCATCAAATAGTACACTAAAAAACAAAACCAAAAAGCAAACACAAAAGAAGGTAGTAGTGGGCAAATTGAGGAATATAAAGGTATAAGACATACCTTTAAAATGGGTAGTCAGATGACAAGTAAGTTGGTTTTTATCAGTAATTACTTTAAATGTAAATGGACTAAACTCTTCAAATAAAAAGCAGAGACTGACAGATTGGGTAAAAAATATGACCCAACCAAATGCTGTCTACAAGGGACTCACATTAGATCCAAAGACACAAAAAGGTTGAAAACGAAGAGTGGAAAAAGATAATCCTGGGCTAGCCACGTGGCTCAGTTGGTTAAGAGCTCGCTCAAGAGTTTGAGCTCTGAGCAACAGCAGTTTGATGCCCGGCCCGAGCTGAGCTGCCGCTGAGCTGCCAAAAGGTGGCAGGATGGCTCAGCTAAAAGAAAAAAAAAAAGAAAAGAAAAGATAATCCACGTAAATAGTAACCAAAAGAGAGCTGGAATAGCTATACTAATATCAGACAAAATAGATTTTAAGTACAAAATTGTTGCAAGAAACAATGAAGGACATTACCTACTGATAAAAGGGTCAATCTGTCAAGAGGACATATTGATTATAAATATATACGTACCAAACTACAGAGCCCCAAAATATGTGAATCAAATATTGGCAGAATTAAAGGGAGAAATACACAATTGTATGATAATAGTGGAAGACTTGAATACTCCACTTTTGATAATGGTTGTAACTAGGCTTAATATATACAAAACACTTCACCCAACAACAGCAGAATACACATTTTTCTCAAAAGCGTATAATACATTCCCCAGTATAGACTTTATGTTAGGCCACAAAACAAGTCTCAGTAAGTTTTAAAAGATTGAAATCACACAAAGTATCTTTTCTGACCACAATGGAATGAAGCTAGAAATCAATGGCAGAGGGAAAACTGGAAAAAAACCCACCACACTCTTAAACTACCAATGAGTCAAAGAAGAAATCACAATGGAAATGTAAAAATACTTTGAGATGAATGAAAGAGAAAACACAACATACCAAAATCTATGGGATGCAGCAAAAGCAGTGCTCAGAGAGAAATTTATAGCTATAAGTGCCTACATTAAAAAAGAAGAAAGGTGGTTTTTTTTTAAAAGAAGAAAGATCTTAAATAAATAACCTAACTTTATACAGTAAGGAACTAGATAGAAAAAGAAGACTAAGCTAAACCCAAAGCTAACAGAAAGAAGGAAATAATAAAGATTATAGTGGAAATAAGTGGAATAGAGAGTAGAAAAATAGAGAGCATCAACAAAATCAACAGTTTGTTCTTTGAAAAGATCAACAAAATTGACAAACCTTTACCTAGACTAGGAAAAAACAAAACAAAACTAAAATCAGAAATGAAAGTGGGGATATAACTACTGAAGTTACAGAAGTACAAAGGTTTATAAGAGTAACTATGAACATTTGTATGCCAACAAATTAGATAACCTAGATGAAATCAACGAAGTCGAAACAAACTACCAAAACTGATTAAAAAACAAATAGAAAATTTGACCAGTTCTATGGGACTCTACTTTTCCCCCTAAGCAGGTGGTTTTCAAACTCTTTTCAGAGGCCCAAGGGTTTCCACATTTCTGGGTGGATGGGGATGTGGCTCTGAGGCCCCCAACTCCTGGTTGAACCACACAGCTCTATTTGTTGAACCTTAAGCAACACGGGTTTGAACTGGGTGGGTCCACTTACATGAGGATTTTTTTCAGTAAATATACAGTCAGCCCTCAGTCAACCAACCACACATTGAAAACAATATTTTTGATCTGCGGTTGGGAACCCATGGATGCAGAGGGCCGACGGTATGCTTTGTTCTACGTGTCATTTGATATAAGGGACTTGAGCGTGTGTGGATTTTAGTATCTGAGGGGGGTCCTGGAACTAATCCCCTGTGGAAACTGAGGGAGAACTGCAGTTAAATTTTGAGGGAGTCAAAAGTTACATGCAGATTTTTTTTTAATGTAATATAAATGTTTATTAACACGAAACATGCTTTCTTGTTCGCTCTAGGTTTTATTTTATGTCATCCATTTGATTTATGTCAACAATTTGATTTTTTCCCCCAATAGTATTCCTAAGGTAAGTTCAAATATTTGACTTCATTTTCTCTTTTTTTAAGTATTATCTGTAATAAATGGCAAACACATAACCAACACAGCTTAATAAAAAACTAAAGCTAATGCCTGCTATATATACATTTAAATTCAGAGAAATAAGTATGGATGCTGTCTCCATCATTAATAACAGTTGCTAGGCTTATAAAATATTTTGCATGTGTAAAGACTCCTGAAGCACAATAAGTTTCAGTTTCCTTCCCTCCATCCTGACCTTATCCACGTTGTTAGTGAGCAGACAAAAGTAAGTTCAGACTCTGAAGGGTATTTGATCCGTAGATTACACAGAATCAAAACTACCAACTTTTGTTTTAAAATGTTAAACATACTATAGGCTGATATAGAAAGATCAAATATGACTTCAATCTTTAAACATGCGATATTTGAAATTGGAAACTTTGGGCTTACAACTAATATATTTTTTTAAGTTGCAAGAGCATTTCATGAAGAGGTTGCCCATTTCAAATATTGAAGATCTCCCTCACTCTTCTAAGACCAGCAAAGATCATTTTAGTTCCAAGGATATATTCCTCTGGGTTCTCCAAATATTCCATCAGAGTTTCCTCTCCCCAGATAGCACTTTTGTTTCTATTTGTATTGGAGTAAGAAAATCCTGCTCCTCGTTCTGTTTTTTTGGCCAAAAAGGCTCCAAAGATTTGCACCCGTCTTGTGTTTTCCAACTTCCCACTGTGTAGCACTGAGCACATTTTTGAATAGAAGATCTTCTTGCCGGCCTCAGCATCTCCCGTTTTGTTCACAGTGCCCGTGTCTCTGCTCTCCTCCTCTCCAGGGAACGCTTAGCAGTCACCCCAGCCACTGTGGGGCCAGAGCCCATGCTCCAGTTTCGAGGCTGGAGGTCCCACAGCAGCGCCTCAAAGGCCTTGCACGGCAGGCCCAGCCAGGCATGTGCTTCTGGTCTATACACAGATTTTTTATTGCATAGGGGAAGGGGAGCAGCGCCCCTAACCCCTGTGCTGTTCAAGGGTCGACTGTATTTTCATTTGTTTTCCCTTGGGGGGGAGGGGCAAATTCTACACAGAATTTCTTAAAGTTGAACCCCACTGGATTTGACCTTGGTAACCCTGTGAAGAATCTGTGGAGGTGGAGGCCTCAGGGCTCAGGAGCTGAGTGAGGGACTGTGCTGGGCTGGGCCTGCTCAGAGGGAGGACATGTCCAACTGTGGCAGCTGCGCATTCTGGTCGGCCATTCAGGTGCTGTGGTCCTGCTGGACGAAAAGAGCTGGTCCCTGGGTTCCCCTTTGATTGGCTATCAAATTCCCCTATAACTCCATATGAATTTTAGGATCTGCTTTTCCATTTCTCCAAAAAAGGTCATTGGTATTCTGATAGGGATTGCACTGAATCTATAGATAACTTTGGGGAGTATTGCCATCTTAAAAGTACGTCTTCCAGTCCATGAACATGTAATGTCTTTCCATTTACTTGGCTTTTCTTGAATTTTTTTTTAAAATTAGTTTCAGGTGTACAACACAGTGCAATAGTTATACTTTTTAACCCCTCAAAGTGACAACTCACCTCCCCCAATCCGCCATCCCACTACCCACCCCCGCTGATATCATACATATCTATTACAATTCCATTGACTCCACTCCCACATCCTGTGACTCCACATCCCATGTCTATATATATATTCAATTATAGTTGACATACAATATTATACAACATCAGCTTCATGTGTACAGTGCAGTAATCAAGCCTCTAACCCCATCCATGAAGTGGTCTCCCTAACAAGACATGTGACCATCTGACACCCTACAAAATATTTACCAATTATTAATTCCATGAACTGTCTTTCATATATCCCTGTGGCCATATTGTAGTTACCTATTTATGCTGTCTAATCCCTTCCCCTTCTCCCTCATCCCTACCCCTCTGCCAACTAGGTTTTTCCTCTATATCTCTGAGACTATTTCTGTTTACTTTGCTCGTTCATTCAGTTTTTTAGATTCCACATATAATTGAGATACCACATGGTATTTGTCTTTCTCTGACTGACTTATTTCACTTAGCATCATGTTCTCTAGGTCCATCCATATCGTTCAAATGGCACAATTTCATTCTTCTTTATAGCAGAATAATACTCTATTGTATAAATGTACCACAGTTCCTTAATCTAGCCGTCTACCAATGGGCATTTCTGTTGTTTCCAAGTCTTGGCTATTGTAAATAGCGCTGCGATAAACATAGGGATGCATATATTATTTTGAATTAGCGTCTTGGGTTTCTCTGGATAGATACCCAAGAGTGGAATGCTGGGTCATACGGTAGTTCCATTTCCAGTTTTTTGAGATACTGCCATACTGATTTCCATAATGGCTGCTCTCTTGAATTTCTTTCAGCAATGTTTTGTAGTTTTTAGTCTGTGAGTTTTACATTCCCTTAGTTAAATTTATTCCTATATATTTTATTATTTTGATGCTATTATAAATGGAATTGTTTTGTTGTTGTTGTTAAGATTTTATTGGGGAATTGGGGAAGGAGAACAGTGTTGGGGAATTGGGGAAGGGGAACAGCCAAGTTGTTGTCCATCAATCTTAGTTGTGGAGGGCACAGCTAGCTCAGCTCCAAGTTCAGTCGTCATCGGTTCCCCATCGGCAGCTCGCAGCCACTGAACTCAAGGTGCCATGTTCAATCTTAGTTGCGGGTGGGTGTAGCCCACCATCCTATGTGGGAGTCGAACCGGCAACCTTGTTGTTAGGGGCACGTGCTCTCACCAGTTGAGCCATTCCTGCCACCTGTTGGCAGCTCAGCAGCTCAGCCCAGGTGCAGCTCATTGGCCCATGTGGGAATCGAACCGGCGACCCTGTTGCTCAGCGCTCGAGCTCTTAACCAGCTGAGCCAGTCAGCCGGCCCTGGAATTGTTTTTATATTTCCCTTTCAGATTGCTCATTGCTATTGTATAGAAATGCAACTGGTTTTTGCGTGTTCATTTTGTGTAGTGAAACATTGCTGACTTTAGTGGGTCTAGTGTGTGTGTGTGTGTGTGTGTGTGTATCTGGTTTTATTGGGTTGTCGGAAAAGTCATGACGCATGTTTGCAACGGATGGCACTAATTCATTTTTGGAAGTACTAGAGTCATTTGCATCTATGTTATTGCTATGTCATTTGACAGCTGACAGTTCTAGCTTCATTCTAAAAATAAAATTGAGTGATTTGGTTGAGTTTTGGA